ATATATATATACATATATATATATATATATATGTATGTATGTATGTATGTTTATGTATGTGTATATATGTATGTATGTTTGTATATATTTGTGTGTGTGTGATTTCATGTCACCATTTCAATATAATGAAACCCCATTTCTAGAAAAGTATGTTGCATTTGTATGCCTCCAAAAATCGTGTACATGCTCTCTTCATCCCAATAGTCAATCCCCCCAAAAAAATAAAATTCAATTTGCATCTAGATATGGTCAAAATGAGTCCCCTCTAACAACGAATCTAGACCACCCATTTAGTGGATTTCAAGATCTAGGCTTTTAAGAATTCAAAATTTTTTTTTTTCTTTCTAATGATAATAAAGGAATCTAAAAAAATTTGAAAAGGTTAAAAGTTCTTCTATGGCCAAGATCTAAACGTCTTACCATAATGGGCGGCTTAGGTTAATTTTCTAAAATAGGTCATGTTTTCAAATTTTGTTTTTTTGTGATTATTCATTGGAATGAAAATGGTGTATATTTAAAACTGGGGGTCAAATAAATGGCCCTAACTTGGTTTTTGAAGATTGTTTCATCATATTATTGTACAGCCATTGCATGAAATCACTTCTATATTTATACACACATACAATCATACACATACTCACACACAAAATGTGGACAAACATATGTCTACTCCCTTGTTGAGGTACATGCAATATTGTCAATGTGAGTGACATTGTCTTTTTTAAAACCAGGACTGCATCAAATACAATCGGTCGCTCCGATGCATGAAAATCACTTGCTCTAAGGCATGTGAAATGATTCATAGGGAGTTACACACTATCACACACATACAAACACAAAATGTGGACACATATGTATCTACTCCCTTGTTGAGGTACATGCAATATTGTTAATGTGAGTTGCCTTGTCTTTTTAAAACTATTACTGCATCACATAAGATCTGTCTCTCCGATACATGAAAATCATTTGCTCTAATGCATGTGAAATGATTCATAGGGAGTAGTATTTTGGAAAACACTAGGAACAAAATTGTTATCAGTGGCAAATTCATTACAAGTTCTAAAGGATGCTCCTACATACATGTGAGTGTTTTTAGTAACTTTTGGGGCTTTCATGCAGCTGCATGCAAGTCCTGTTCAAGGCTCCAGTGAGTTTATAATACCCTTGGGTTCAGTGTCTGAAAACATGATGAGTTGGTATGGGACTTGCCCGAATCAACTCACCTCAACCATTGGTAGGTCTCATGTCAGAAGACACATAACGCAAGACTCAACTGAGTCTAATAATTTTCCTTCATTTTTTCACATAGACTAGGCTGAGTCGAGTCTTTAAGACTCGTGCTCAGGGCTTGAGAGTTCCGACCTAAGATAAATTTTAAAACTCTGGTTGGGATAAACATGGAGAAAAGCTTCCATGGTATTAATTATATATTTAGATAAAATATGCACAAAATAGTAATGCTTGGAACTTAAGTAGTTTGCAAGTCAATGAAAAAATAAACCCTTGAATCAATTGTGGAACTAGGCTTAGGCTGCAAATTGTTGCCCGAGGTCCGAGCCAGGGCTGAGCACCACAGCCTGAGGGTAGGGCTGGGTCGGGCTTGGGCTAAGGCATCGACAAGGCCAGCCCAGCCCAGGTCGGGCCCGTTGCCAGCCTTATATGGCAAGTCTTGTCATTTATATCTATCAGGATATTCCTGGTGTCTATCCGAAATGAGCATATAGTATATTTGTGTCCTCTATCACGATCTACATGCTATAAATATAAGCATGTGAGGCTACATGCTATGTCACATGCCTACTGTGCATGGTATATGGTGGAATATCTCATGGTTTTTTGGTTGTCAGCCTCTTTCCGTAGTATTTGCATTAATTAATTTTTAATTATTCTCTTCTAATTCGGATTTTTATCATTTCCATTATCATGGACCATATATTAAAAAAAGACCATCTATTATCATGGACCATTATCATTTCCATTATCATGGACCATATATTAAAAAAAGACCCGAATGTTTACTCATTGTGCGTTAAGGGCCAATTTAGTTTGATGGTTAGCCTGTCTATTGTCCAGTTCTAATTTCCGGGTGAAGTTGGTGATGGCCTCAAAAGGAAAGATTGTTACAGCTAAGGATGTTCTTGATGTCGGTGTTCAATCACAGCTATTTTTGGAAACTGCTGTTATTACTCTGGCGCATCTTGCTTATTTCAGTGACAAAGTGGAGATAGAGGTACATAAGCTAGCTCTTGCTACTATTGATGGACTTGAGCATTTGTATAGTATTAGTTTTGGCTTAATTGTACTACATTTATTTGATAGCATATTTGTAGTGTTTAATAGTACAGAATGCACTAATGGCAAAGAAATTGTTATGCTTACGAATTATTGAAAGTTCTATGCCTTGTTGTAGCAATCTATTGCGACTTTTTGCATAATTTGACACTCGAAGGGCTCAAGCTGTGCATAAGCCATGCATTTGGAGAATAGTATTTTCTATGCTTCAAATCTGTTGTTGGACTAGCACAGTGCTATTCACTACAGAAGTTATTCTTGTAAGATCCTATGCGTTTCTTTCTTGTTACATTAAAGCCATTGCGAAGTCTTGAATAGTGAGTACGTTTTATGAGTTTTTTCAGATTATAAAGGATCTATTTGTCCTTTGTCCCTTATTTCTTTGAAGTTATGCACAATTATTTTACCTCGCAGGTTTCTAGATTATCTAAACTTCTGAAATTTGGAGTTTGAGAATCCATGTTCGACATGTTTTGTGGCAGTTTATGATCTAAGTTCTCGAAAAGCTACTGTTAGCAGCATCAGACCAAATGCTAATTTCTTCTAATGCAAAACCTATTGAATGATAATTGTAGTTATCCTTCTCTTTCAAATAAGTGATTGGGAAATCTGTGGAGGGACTGGACTTGTTATTGAACTCCAATATTTTCTGATGTAGATGATTGTCATCTGTTTATCCAACTTTTTGTCATTTGTATGAATTAAAAGTTTCAGATCTTTCAATGATGGTTGAAATAAAGAGAATCCAGCAATATTTGCATTTGCATTTACTCATCACTAGGCTTCGGACATCTATGTTAATATAATATTTGCGAGTACTTACTATTGATGCTATATTGATATTTATGAAATTTGTAGGCCATCTTCATGGCATGTGTTGTTGCCGCTATGGAGCCTGCACTGAGGTTTGCTGTTGTCAGCTTTGTGTTCTTTTTAGTGCCCTAATATTGATTTTATAGTTTCTAAACAGTTAATACTGTTTATTATAGGGAATTGGTCTATGCTATACTTGATACGCTCTCTAAACAGCTCAAGTATCCGACCAGGTCAAAGGTTAGACAACACCGAATTGCCTTTGGCTTTGTGCTCTAGATATAATTACTTGTTCAAAGAAGACATCAAGCATCTGCATTATGGATGTGCATTACATGCATGAACAGATCTGCTTGTAAAAAACCTAGATTGGATATTATTGTTATAGTTTTTACATCATTTTTCAAATTTTTGCAGTATTTGGAACAACTTATGGGATCACTTCTTTCTCGTTGGGTGACTTGCCAAGTGAGCTTGGTTGCATTAGTTGAGGTATGACCCATACTATTGTGAGAGAGAGATTCTTTTTCATTGAAGTATCCAGTTAAACCTAATTTTCTAATTAAATTGTTCATCTAGTGTTATGTGTCGTATAAGAGAACCTCCCTGCCTAAGGAAACTGCAGGATATTCATGGCACCTTTATGCGTTAAAAGCATTTGTTTATTCTTCCTTCATATTATGCACTACTGAAATTGCTTATGGCGTTGTGGTAAATGGTATTATCTTGTTATTGACGTTGTTCGCATTATTTGCAGTTTTTTTTGATCCATTGGTCGTAGCTGGTATTTGTCTGAAGTCAGTGTCTGATAATGGACATGGTGGGTTGTCCCTTGTGTGCTCAAAACTAGCACATTATGTCAGCTTGCTGAAATATCATTGTCGTCTATTTCCTATGACTTAACCTAGTTATGATTTGAGGTTTTGGGCTTGAGCTTGGCTGGTTAAGGTGTTGGCGTATGCAATACTATGTAGGAAGTTTGAATGTCACCACTGAAACAAACATGAGCCATTGGAATACAACTGAATTCCTCAGTTTCTTAGATGTACACTGTCATTCGACATTCAAACTCATGCTGATGGGTAGTAGATACCTTGGTGAGAGGGCATAATAATTTATCACATAAGAATTAGGTACAAGCAGTCTCCACCACCATGATGCAAGACACATATGTACAATATTAGGACTCTGGCCTTGGTGGAAATACCGTCGATTCATTATGAAGGTATTATCATCATAAAGTGTACTCTTATTCTATCCAGTTGGAAGTTGAGACTTGAGAATCTGTTCAATTGTGATTGTAGCAGTCAACAATGTCTCTTGCCCAGGTTAAGATGTGTGCTTACAGCGGGCTAGCCAAATTGTTTTCATTGGTCTCCTTTTCCGTGATAACCATGTTAAGGATGCAATAAATGAGTCGTTTACTTAAAAAGATTGTCTAAGTATGAATTTTCTATTCCTGGACGACTTCGGTAATTTTGTGCCGAACTGTATTTTGTCTAATATTTTTCTAGGTGCCAAAAGGCATCAACTTTATCAAGGTGATTTTTGATACATTTTGATACCTTTGAGCTATTTTTAGTTATCAGAGATATTTTGGACATTTTGAGGATGGGCTAACAATTTTCTTTTATCCAAAATATTTGGGGAAGTTAATTTTGTGGAATGTATCCATTAGCTTGAAACATTGTGCATTTTGGCGCTTGGAAATAAGTGGAGTATTGTTTCTAATAAATGCATGCTAATGGTTGGGGCTAGTATTGTGGTGGGACCTGCTAGGACATCGTTTTGGTTAGTTGCAAAATCTCGTGTCACAGTTTTACCATGGTTGCATATGTAATTACTTGTAGTGGAAATATTGTCTAATTCCTGATTACTGGATGGTTATTGAGTGCAACTATAGTGATTGGAATTGTCCACCTTAGGTAGTGATTCCAGTTTGGAATTGCGATTCCACATTTTCCCTGAAGGATTTGCAATAGATCTCGATTTCTGGAAGTTAGGAATCACAAGTCCACATTTTTTGAATCTCGTTCCAATGTATTTGGAATCTGGATCTCACCTCACCAAATTTTGCGATTCATAGGTGCACAGGACTGGGATTCAACCAATATGAGACATCTTTTGCATTTTAAAGAATAGTGATTAGAGATGTCTGGAATCTATATCTACAACATCAAAATGATTGCAGAAATTTTATGGGGTACTTGGAAATGTTTATGTATTATTTGAAAATTTTTATTATTTAAATTTATTAATAATTAGTATATGATGGTCTACTATATTAATACAACAATTAATAGTTTCAAAAACAATAATATAATTAGTATATGATGGGCATCTAAAAGCTATGGGTGTTGACAAACTTTGTTGACAAACTTTAGTTTAAGTCATTCTTGAATTTTGGGAATTTGTAATAATTGTCTTTCGTTTTAAAAATACAGAAATTAATTTTATATTCTTTATTTGATCTAAAAACTCAAGGACAATACTTAGTTTAAGGGTACTTGACCTTGTTTCCAATACATGTGGTGAACTGTGGTAAAGGACATTGACACCAATATTAGGGGAGGGCTATCAAACGCATTGATTCCAATAGTAAGGGAGCCCTTAGTAAGGTGATAGGGGTGGCAATGGGTCGGGTTTGGTCTGGCCGGACCCGGACCCGGTCCCAAAAAACATTTATGGGACCTGGACCTGGACCTAGACCCGGACCCGGTCCCGAAAAACATTTATGGGACTTGAACCCAGACCCAGACCCGGACCCGGACCCGGACCCTGACTCGGACCCGGATTGGACCCGACCAAAAAATAAAAAAAATATGAATACTTAGGCATATTTAAATATTTTGTTAAATATATACATGTATTATTTAAATATTATAACTAAAAAATATAGTTATATTTATTTAAATATATATGTCACGAAATATTAATACTATTTGGGTCGGGTCTACATGGACCTGGATCAGGACCCGTACCCAAATAGTGTTCGGGTCCAAATCTTGGACCTGGACCCAACCCATCGGGTCCAATTTTTGGAGCCATACCCGCACCCGGGTTGGATCCAGGTCCATTGCCACTCCTATAAGCTGATTCCATTAGTAGGGGAGCCCTTGGTAAGCTT